ATCAAGTGTACCAAAAGTTCACAAATGACACAAGTTGGGTGGGAGTGTTGATCTGCTGGATGGCAGGGAGATCTGGACAGGCTGGATTAATGGGCCAAGGCTATTGGTATGACGTTCAGCAAAGCCAAGTGCTGGGTCCTGCACTTTGGTCACAACAATCCCCTGCAGTGCTACAGGCTGGGGTAAAAGTGGCTAGAAAGATGCTCAACGGCAAAGGATCTCAGAATGATGGTTGACAGCAGCTGAACATGAGCCAGTGTGTGTGCCCAGGTGGCCAAGAAAGCCAAAGACATCCTGGCCTGTATAAGGATTAGTGTGGCCAGCAGGACCAGGACAGTGATCATGCCCCTGTGCTTAGCACTGATGAGGCCACGCCTTGAACCCTGTGTCCAGTTCTGGGACCCTCACTACAAGAAGGACAAGAGATGCTGGAAGGAAGGGCAATGGAGCCTGTGAAGGCTCTGGAGCACAAGTCTGATGAAGAAAGATTGAGTTTAGCCTGGAGTAAAAAGGTCTCAGGTGGGACCTTTACAACCACTTGAAAGGTGATTTTAGACAGGCAGGGGTTGGCTGTCTCCCAGGTAACGAGCAACATAATGAGAGGAAATGGTGTCAAGGGAAGTTTAGTACGGGTATCAGGAGATATTTTTTACTGAAAGGGTTGTCAAGCATGGGAACAGACTGTCCACATCAGTGGTGGAGACACCATCCCTGGAGGGATTTAAAAGATATGTAGATTTGGCACTTAGGGACATGATCTAGTGATAGACTCAGCAGTACTGGACTAACAGTTGGACTTAATGATCTGAGAGGTCCTTTCCAACCTAAACAAATCGCTGTTTCTATCTAATTTTCTATATCCAATTATTTAACCACAATTTAATTCCTGGGCTTTGTTACAATGAAAGAACAACTTTGCAATGTTTCAGCATATATATTTTCATGTTTTTCAGCTAAAGAGGGGATGCAAGCTAATTCTGAATCTTTGGATCAAAGAGAGCAGAAACATAATGAGTTCTTGAACTTTTAACTTCAGTGACCAAATATATTGTAAATTCAGGAATTACTCACTTCTAGCACCCCAAAGACAAATGATTTTAACAAAAAAATGCATCAAGTAGTTGCAGCGTATAGCTATATCCGTTGTTATTATTACATTAATAGGAAAGTAGACGAAGGTGTACACACAAAAACACATTCAATATGCATTCTTGAGTTTTATATTACTTCCAAAGCATCTGCTCTTACTCTAAGTATAAACATACCAATAAATAGACCATCTCTTATCTGATTCTGCATGCTTTTTATATGGTTCTTAATATAGCAAATTCTCCAAAATAAAAGACATGCACATCAAAAACACTATGCAGAAATACTTTAGGACACAGCAGTTATTAGCACAGTACTAGAGGACCACCCTAATAATCAGAGTTGGACTACACAACCCTTAAGAAAGTGCCGAAAGAACTGGGCTTGTTTAGCAGAAAATAATTCCTAAAGGCAGGGGGAGAACACAACAGCTTTTCAGAATCCAAAAGTGGGTTACCTAGAAGACTCTACTGAAGTATGCAGTGAAAAAACAAAGGAGACAATGGTTATAGACCAAAACAATGGCAGTTAAGACTCGAAATAATGAAAAGATTTTTCACTATGAGAATAATTAACCTTTGAGCAGGTTGCTCAGAGGCTGTGGAATCATCAGCCTGTAGGTTTTCATGATCCAGCTGTACAAAACCTTAAGCAAACTGCTCTAATCACAGTATTTGTTCTGCTTAAACAGGAGACTGATTGCTCAACAGATCTCCTGAGGTCCACTCCAGCAGGAATGAATGAGATTCAGACCAAATCCAACCCATTGGTGGTGTGTTTCAGGGCACCTGATTAAAGGCAAGCTGTGCTTGTATTTTAATTCAAGAGACCTCCTTTAACTAAGCTATTTTATTTCAACTCCTGCAAGGAATATTCTAACTACATGAATGTGAACATTCCTTACAGTTTTTTCACAGTCATTTTTGCACAATGGCAAATACGACTCTTTCAAATGTTTCAGAAATGGAAGAAAGTTATGAAAAGATGCCATTTGAGCAGAAGTTTAGCATCAGTGCCTTATTTAGGACATCAGATTTATGTTTATCACAACTTTTTAACCATGTGCATTAAAAAGAGATGAAGCAGCAGTAAGGAAATGCTGAAATAGAACATGAATGATTTTAAACATCAATACATTTTTATGCTACATCTTTTCCATCTCTAAGTATCTTCAAAATGTATAGTCTGAAGGAAGATGGAGAGTATACCAGCAACTATTAATTTATCTATTGGCCTGGAATCTCCTTCAATTTGTAGTTCTGAATCTACAGCTCTATATTCACATTTAATGTATGTCTGCACTCTGACTCACAAAGTTCTTCAGTACCTTTTCCAGAATATGTGGAATGTTGATAATTCTCAGGATTGGAGACACAGGAAAGAATTAAAACTGAGCTTCTAGTACTTAATTCTAACACGTGTACTGAATCTGAGTAGTAAAATTTTGAATAAGCATCACAGCTGGTAAGTATATTCAAATTTTAAACCCATTTTCGAGCCAAAATGAAAGATGTAGATTTACATAAATAATCAAAATTCTTCCCCGTAAATACATAAATTATATTCCTAAATCCATAGAAGAAAGAGTAACAAAGTGTATAATTAATTTACTCTTTTATTCTTTCAAAGCAGTCTTGAAACATGAAACACGAGCCCTGTAAAATATGTGATCAGCACTGGATTCAGTTTTACCCTGAAAACTACTGAGATTTCTTTGTAACCTGTATGAGTCAATGCTGTACTTCAGGAAGAAGTCTGCTTCTTATATTTTCAAGATTTAAAACCCATCATGTATCCTACACTTTGGAAACACCCTGGCAAATACAGTAGAGTTGATAGCCAAAACTGAACCCCTTAAAATTAGGTTGCCAAAAAGCATATAAAATAGATCTTCGACTTAATCCCACCTACGTTGAGAACAGTTTATTCTGGAAGTAGACCTAATGTATCTCCCCAGAACAGATTGGAAGGATTAGACTTATGCAAGCTTTTGGTTTTTTTCCTCCACTGTAGACAACTGCATAAACGTAATACACTGATTCTGTAAAAATATTAATTTCTAAATTACTGAACAGAAAAAAAAACCTGGTATAATTCATAACAGAACCTCCCATGCTACCAGGCGTTAAAATCCAAATTTAAACAACAAAGGAATCTCTGTTGGATGGATCCACCTAGGTATCAACCACACAAATTTGACTCCCTCTACAAAGAGTAAACTTTGAAATATTGAGTGTATCTTAAGAGTCCATGGTACCAGCCAGACACATACAACGCGACGGATACAGGACAGCCTAAAAGCATGCCTCTACCTCCCTTCTTTGCACCCTCTTCCACACTATATAAAACTCCAACCACACCCACCTATGATGTCACTGCCATTACACAACCTGTCCCCCTCCGTGCCTGTCTGCTTATGCAACTGGGCCCGGCCTGCTGGGAATTGTCTTGGTGACACTTACGACTGAAAATAGGTCTCTCTCTCTCTCTCAGGAAACAAGGTTAAATACACCAACGGAATTTCTCTTTGCCCGCGCACAGCGATTACCAAACACAAAACGAAGCAGAGCCCACAGACGCCTCTGTAAACAAGTCCCGCAGAAGCGTGCGGGGGGAGACACGACGGAGCCCATGTGGGGCGCTCCCCCACAGCTCTGGAGTAAGCAGAAGCAGGTGTACCCCAGTACCAGGCTGGGCGCACAACCCAGGGCCGGGCAGCTGCACGTCCCCTCCACTCCGCTCTCCCAATGGAGAGCTTCCTTCAGTCCCTTCAAACTCGAGAAAACTTCAGACACTCTTCACCGGCCCGTCTCGATCGCAGACGGTCCCGCACTAAGGGGCACGATAAGGGCACATCCACCTATTCCACCACACCCCCGCCGTCCCGAGCCCGCCGCCCCGGGCTACTAGCCCGTGCTGGTCCCGCCGGGACACGGGCGGCAGCAGCGGGGACCGCGCGGCTCCGGCGGGCGGCACGGGCGGAGGGAACGCTCCCCCAGCCTTACCTGCTCGCAGAGCCTGGTTGACGGCGCCCAGCGCCTCTCGGAAGCGGCCCTGGGCCAGCAGCTCCTCCAGCCGAGTCCCGGCCCTCGCCCTCTCGCACTCGCCCGGGAACCACTTCTCCGCCAGCCGGTTGAGGACAACGCTGGTGCGCAGCGGGGCCGGGGCCGCGGCCGTGCTGGTGCCCCCCGCCGGCAGCAGCCAGTCCCGGCAGCGGCGGCAGCGGGCCCGCAGCTCCCTGCGGAGGCAGCGGCGGCAGTAGGTGTGCCCGCACGGGACGGTCACCGGCTCGCCCAGGAACCTCCCGCAGCCGCAGCAGCGCAGCGGCCCCTCGGCCCCACGCTCCCGGCCCCGGCCCGGCCCCTGCCGCAGGCGGTAGTTCAGCACCAGGCAGTCCACGAGGGTCCCGAGGCGCTGGGCTCCGCCGAGGGGGCCGAGGCACAGCGACGCCAGGGACGCGCCCACCGCTTCCTTCAGGCGGCTCGCGGGCACCAGCCGCGCCAGCAGCAGCTCCTGCCGTCCGTCCGCCTCCTCGCCAGGGCCCCCGCTGCCGCCCGGCTCCGGCGGCGGCTCCGAGCCCACGGTGGCGGCGTGAGAGGACGCTGCCATCGGCTGCGCGGCTGCGGCGAAGGGGGTGTGGCGCTCCCGCTCCGGACGCCGGGATGGGCTCCGGGCTCGGCGCGGGCGGGGGGCGGGAGGAGGCGGGGGGAGGTTACAAAACACCGCTCCACGCGCGCGCCGCCAACGGCGCGGGGTCACGTGAGGGGGACGGGGCGGGCCCGTCCGGGAACGCCCGTGCACAGGGGCGGCGGTGCCCGGAACCCCCCGCGGCCCGCCCGGCACCGGGGAGGGTGCAGAGCCCCGGCCGGGCCGGGCGTGGCTGGCAGGGGAAGAGGGACAGCCCTACGGGCTCCGGGGTGACTCCTGGGAGCGGCTGCCGTGGTGAGGGTCGGGCGTTAGCAGGGCTGTGGGGGAGGCAGGGATAGAGGGACAGAGCCGTCGGGGCGGGGAGAGGGTTCTCCAGGAACGGGGAACGGGAGTCCGTGGCTGCCGCGGTCCCGGAGGCATCACCCGGCGGGTGCCCGCTGCTTTCCCTGCGGCTGCTACTCACACTCGTCTTGGGCCGCTTGGGCTGGCCCCTTTTCCTTCTGTGTTAGTCTTTTAATGGAGGACACGATAAGATAAAAGTTACAAGGGTAAGGAAAAGGTCTTTGTCCTTAGGGTTTGTCCCCCCCCGTCTCTCCGAGTGTTCCCAGCCCTGGCAGGACGGGTCGGACGCGCTCGCTGCGCTCCCGCCGTGCCGTCGCAGCCCGGCGGGCAGTGAGCCGCGCTCGCCGCCAGCGCGCCACAGAGGCGGGCTCTGCGGGGAAACACCTGATCTGTTCTGCCTAAAGTAGGCACAGGGGAAATGCTTAGGCTTCCCAGGTGTATGCCAGCCTCTAATGAAAGCGTGAAGTCTATTGCATAAGTGCTATGTATTTATAATTGTTACAGCGCCTGTTTTTTAGGTTTTTTTTAGCAACATTAGAAGGCTGTCATAAATCCAGACGTTTCAGATAAATAATAGCAGAACCTTTAAAACCTTCCAAGCAAAGTTTGCACATCAGGAAAATTAATATATGGCCTTACGAAGGGAGCAAAGCTATATTTATCTTCAGCCGTATTCCATGTATGGCAGGCTGGAGAATGATGCTAGAGGTTGTTAAGAAAGCTGTTGGCAAAGATGACATGATTGGAAATAACCAGATACATCTGGATTTGCATCCAAGCGTTTTGTCTGACCTCAAGTACTCTAAACTTCATCCTTTGCCTCTACAGTGTCTTTCAAGTTCCTAAAGTCGAAGAAAAGAGCTGTTATAGTAATTGAAGCATGAGGAGACCATGAGTGTATTTTAAACATGGATAGGAAAGATAATCTCTTACAGTAATTAATTAAAAAATTGAGTGAGTTAGGAAATGACAGTCTAAGGATCAAAGTAAAATAGATATCTGTATTATGAACTTGAGTTGTGGTGGGATGTTTTAAATTGCTTTGAATTATTATGAATGGTTTAATAGACTATGCATTCTGCTGTGGACGTGTCAAATGTGAGTTGACTCCTCACAAAGTATTGGACTTAGCCAATTTGGACAAAAGTAAAACTCTGAAAGAAGTACTGTTAAAGAGAACAGTAGTTTATTTTGCATTTCAGATTAGATAACTCATGGAAATACAGAAGAAAAATAAAACAGGACAAAGCCCAAGGGCTTGTGGGATTGGCATTAGGATAATAAAGCAGCCCTCTGATGCAACAATTTAAAACAGTAGAAATGAAAACCTGTTTCCACCATTGCCACTTCCAGTGATTCTTATAAAAGTTCATACATTTAGTGTTTCTACAAAAGTTCATACATTAGTGATTCAAGCAATCATGAATGCAACCAATGCAATCAGCTTTTTTACATAATTTCCAGTGTAAAGGAAGAAAATACCCATGGCTTTGCCACCATTCATGTCTTAGAGCAGAAGAGTGGAGGTTTTTCTCGTCATCTTTCTCTTCAAAACTGGAACAAGGGATTTGGAGTAGGGTGGATGAATAGATGGGTAGGGAGCCTGACATTTTGTATTGCTCCCACCAGTTGTAGAAATGTCTGGTATCTGGAAGATCATTTACAAGAAAGCTAGACTATATATTCACCTCATCCTTGTTCTCTAGACATTATTATTTATCCTTGTTGGAAATTATACTGGACCTAGTTAGATCATTATATTACCCAGTGTTGACATTTTTATATCTTTGAACTACAGTTGATTCTTTGAGCTTTGGTTTTGGTGTATTATTCTATGTTTGGCGTATTTAACTAAATAAGAAAAAACCCTCAAATTTCAAGTTTTTTGCTGTGTTACCATCAGGATGTGATAGTTATGTAAGAGAGGAAAAAAGTAATTTTCAAGATTAGATAACGCACAGCTCCACCACCACTCCGTTAAAATAGCACACTCAAAAATCCTTTTTTTTTTTTTTTTCCCCCCCCTGCTCATAGGGTCAGATAAATGATATTTTAAAACAACAAAGCCTTGCCATTGCGAAGTTCATGTGGGCCATTCTAAGAAAGACTTCGGGGACTGTCCTTTCCCTTCCTGCTGTAGAGCAGTATAATGCTGCTGGTTATAGAAGTTCTCATTCAGAAAGGTACCTGCAAAGCACTGTGCCTCCAGTGCAGTGAGGTAGAAGTAATTCCTTTCTTATACATTTTAAGGTATTGGTTAAATGTTTTTCCAAGCAATTCCTTGTTTGAGTAGTGTGTGCAACCCAATTAGACATGAGATAACAATAAAACAGCAGTTTAAGTTGTATTTGACCCCACTTTAGGTAAATTAAGTACAATGATTCTGATTCAAGATCTTCAGAAATCAACAGCAGTATAAACAAAGTAAAGCAACCCAGGCTAAGGGATCGGGCAGTGAACCTAAAAATTAATACCTACATACTGGAAATCTGGAGTCAAGCCCCATTTTTACAAGCCTGTGGCATATACCCCAAGAAAAAGTAGTTACCACAAAGGATGTAGTTGTATTCTAAGAGAAACAATGACTTTCTGGCTGTTTCTCCTCTTTTTCTTTGACTGTAGGTGCTTGTTACCCAGCTATTGTCACTTTTTGCAAAGATATGTGTAACAAAGTCAAAATAAAATGAATGGGAGAAAGGTTAGATTTGGCAAATAAGAGTCATACTTAAAAAACGAAAAGTATAATATTCTTGGAAACTATTTGTTCTACCAAGAAATACTTAAATATAATTTCTTCTAGGGGAAATAAAAACCCAACCAAAAAAGGAAATATTAAGCCATATTTAAAATTTTCGAATGGCTTTTGAAGACCTGATAATACTTGAGTTCCTTCAGGCCCGATTGAGAAAAAATGCTCAGAACCAACTATGATTTGCTTTGTTTCAGTTTTTCATTGTTGTTTAGTAGACTTTTGGGGCTTTAGTGAGAGAGTTCTGGCAGAGAGATTTCTAAATGGAAAAATCCTCAGCATCTCTGCAGTGAAACACACTAATCCTTGTTTGTGCAATGCAGTGGTGGGCAGAAAAGTTGGTTTTGAATAATTTTTTTTAGTTAGGAGTGGTCAAAAAGCTGCATTTGCAGCTTGGTCTCAAAAGTTGCTTATGGTGAGCTGAACAGGGCTAGACTGTCAGCAATAGTGAGGCCAGCAGGACCAGGGCAGTGATTGTCCCCCTGTACTCAGCACTGCCGCAGCCACACCTCAAGTCCTATGTCCAGTTCTGGGCCCCTCACTACCAAAGGGACATTGAGGTGCTGGAGCAAATCCAGAGGAGGATGACAGAGCTGGTGAAGGGTCTGAAGGAAAAGTCCTACGAAGAGCAGCTAAGGATATTAGAGTTCATTCCAGAGACTAGTCTTTCCAAAAAGAAAAGAATTTTAAATGAACGAAGTTTATTTTAGATTTTTTTCTTTTGGCAAAGGCAAGAATTCTAGCATTTTATGAAATGTGTTAAATGCAGTGACTTCTGCACCACAAAACCAGTTTCTAGCTGTCTAAATAAACTACTAATTAGCAAACAGTCAAGTGCTTGTTGGGATTTCCCTTCAGCATGAAATCTGAATTCTGCTTCATAGCATAATAATAAGGCAATTGCCAGTGGATAAGGGAAAGACTGTTGATCTGGTCTATCTAGACTTTAGTAAAGCCTTTGACACTATTTCTCACAGTGTTCTCCTGGAGAAACTGGCTGCTTGTGGCTTGCACAGGTGCACTGTTCCTGACTGAAAAGCTGTCTCCATGGCCAGGCCCAGAGACTGGTGGTAAACAGAGTGACATCCACTTGGCAGCCAGTCCCTAGTGGGGTTCCACAGGGCTCAGCACTGGGACAAGTTTAGTTTCACATTTTGATCAATGCTCTGTGGGTATGAGTTGGTGTCTTCTCTAAGAAACATGCAGCAGGATGAGAAAATGGCCTCAAGTTACCCGAGGGGAGGTATAAATTGGCTACAGGGAAAACTTTCCTCACTGAAAAGGTTGTCAAGCATTTGAGCAGGCTGCCCCGAGCAGTCTATGCAGGTGGAGCAGGCTGCCCCATCGTATATGGAGGCATCTAAATGACATGTAGATGTGCCAGTTAGGGACGTGCTTTAATGATAGCATTGGCAGTGCTGGGTTGACAGTTGGACTTGGTCTCAAAAGTCTTTACAACCTAAATGATTCTCTGGTTCTCTGTCCTCATTTTCCATTCAATTACAGTTTTGGAGGTGTCTGCCCACTTTGTCAAGAGAGCTCTGAGGAGCTCGCTCCTGCTGGATGATTTTGGACTTGGGGTAATGATGCCTAGAACCCAGGAGATGCTGGTTTCCATTCCTCCTTCCCAGTTACCAGACTGCTAATTTGCCTATGGTGCTGGGAAGTCTCATCTCTAAAAACAACTGTTTTCAGTCTTAAAATACCAATGTATGACCAGTCCGTAGACTGATGGGTATTTTTCTCCTCCAACCAGAGACTACTTGTTTTCAGCAGATCCAATGACACTTTTGAGATTTGTCTAAATGAGATTCCTCTCACGTTGATGATGATGGCAGCAACACTTGTCTTAAAAATACAAATGACAAAGGTTGACCTCTGGGTTTAAAGGCAGAATGTATGAAAGGAATGAAAATCTCAAGTAGGGGAGGCTGAACTGACTAAGTTTCCAAATGTGACAGAACTGACAGCCATGACTGACAGATATGAAAAAATCTGGGACACTGGCTGTAGATCAGCAAGCACAGTATTGCTTACAAGAAGGAAGAAAAAGGTGATCACCAAGTATAGACAATTAAGCAAACTCAGTAGTACATTAGGGATGTAGAAACACATTTTCAAGTGAAAAACTAATGAGAAACATGAAGCTAACATGAATACCATAACCATTGAATTTACCTAAGATAGACTAAAGTCAACCTAAGTCTGCTTTTGCTCTTGTAATGGAAATTGTATTCTGCAGACAGGCAGTGCTCAGGCTCTCATCTGTTTGGCCTTGAATAAAGCAGGTGATATAATGAGCCACATGGAGAATTTTGACTGAAACAGAGTGAGATGGAATTGCTAAAAAGTTGAAAGGTCTGAAAGATCCTGTTAAAAGCCAATGGAAATGGATCACGAGATAGGAAGAGGTTCCTGTTTGGAAACACACTTCATATGGAGTTTTGGTATTAATTTTACTTGATATTTTCCTCAGTGACCCTGGTACAAAAAGGCAGGAAATTTGATCTTTTGGTTTGGCAGCAAGTAAGAAATTGATGTCAGTAAACTGAGGAGAAAAATGTCAGACACAACGAAACCGACCTGCTTGACTACTGGGATAGTAGAAGTGGGAGAGTTTTAGTCATGCAAGTGTCAAACCATGTACACCTATTGAGAAAAATAATTGCTAGATCCTGAAAGTTTATTAATAGGAAATGATAGAAGGTGAGAATGAACAGGAAGCTATAGAAAAAATTGATATAAACCTAGACTTTTTTTTTTTTTTTTTTTATGAACAGGAAGCTATAGAAAAAATTGATATAAACCTAGACTTTTTTTTTTTTTTTTTTACTGTTGACATAGGGAATTACTCATTGTGCTATATGTGACTGTGGTGAACAGAGTCACACAACAGACAGTTCTTTTTTTTTTTTTTTTTTTACTGTTGACATAGGGAATTACTCATTGTGCTATATGTGACTGTGGTGAACAGAGTCACACAACAGACAGTTCTGGTCAGGTTATTTGTAAAAGAAAGAGGAAGCGTAACTAGTTGAAGAAAAGGATAATATGGAACAGATTTACTGTACAACAGGAATTGGAGAAATGCTTGCTCCTCTACTGTCTTGCCAAAATGAGGATGGAGAGGGGACATGATTGCCCTATGTAAGTGATTTATGAGAACAGATAGCAAGTGACACATAAGAAAAAAGATGAAGTAAATGACTAAAATTTAGATTAGAGGTTAGGAGGATACTTCTGAGAATCTGAAGTGAGATTATGAGATAGTTTCTGAGAAACAGTGGGAGGATTTACATGCTGTCCAAACAGTGCTTGTTAATGCCAGGACAGGGATTACCTGACATGCTCAACTGTTATAGCAAGGGACCGGATTCCTTCTTTCTGAAGAACAGAAAACAGTTAATCAGTAGGAAACAAGTTAGTAAATAGAAGAATAATTGACAAACTGCTACCTAAACTTTTCAACTATTGATTTCACCCCTTTGTCTCAGTCATTGTTACACAGTGAAAGTTTCAGCCTGTCTCATCTCAGCAGGGCACTGGAGGAATGGTAGCAAAGTCATGAGGACCACAATTGAAATGTCCCCCAGATTCTTGGAAAAAATACAAACTCACTTAGGGAGAAGACTTTGGAGAAGTGTGAGGGAAGGAGAGGGAAACTTTTCCTTTGAAAGACAACAGGAATGAGGCATCTGCCTAACCCTGTGCCCAGGTTAGGATACTCAACACACCGCAGGGCTGACAGAGAAGGTAGCTGCTGTCAGTGCAGCAAAATATCTATGCCCACCTTGTGTAGCCATGGAGAGGCATGTTAGCCACTACTTCCATGTTTGCCAAAATTGAGGGGGAGGGGGGAGAGAAAGCAGCAAAATCCAAGTTTAGCCATCTTGAGCTTCCTCTAGTAGCACTCCAGAGAGAAAGTGCTCATGGCTCTTTCCCTGCCTCTGCAAGCCATGCAAGACACTAGGAACTTCCCAAGGTTGTGTCTGTTTAAACCATTAGCTTTTGCTTTTCACTCCTAAATGGCTGTTCTGCCATTCTCACTGCTTTAGCTGAATTTGGCATGCTCCACTTCAGGTGGATCCGGTGAAGGACAGAACAGGCCATGCTTACACCTTTGGTGATGGCTCTAAATGGGAAAAGACCAGTTGAGCTGAAGCTGAATCCTCTCACGGGAAATAAGCTTATTACTACTGCTAAAAGTGTTTTCAATACCATTTTATTGTTTTTAAAATCTGGCAAAACCCCCTTATAAACAGCCCTGTGAAAATGGCCGTGACAAATATTTCTCTGAGACATTTGATATCTCTCTAATAGTATATTTTGTAATTGTTTCAGAAGGAAAGTGTGCAACATAACAACCTGCAAATGGTTCATGCATAGTCATGCCTTCCATGTGTTAACTGCTGGGGAATGGCTTCAGATTGCTTCACTTTATAAATTTTTACTTATTTACCGTGGCAGTTGGTGACCAAGGTAGCATATGTGAAATGAATTTGCAGTTTCTATTACTGTTAGTTGAAATTTTCTGGTGAAACGTTTTCTCAAATTGAAAGGAAAAAGAAAAGCTGCCCTTATCCATCAATCAGGAAGGTAATGCTTTGTAGAAGAGCATTTGTTGAGATAATCTGACAAAACATGGGTAAGTTTTGATGAGAAGCATTTTCCAAATGTCCAGGAAGATAGCACTGGTGATTTCTGTATATTTCCAGAATAGCTCTACCATGGGACTAGTCCCCACATGCCTCTAATCTGGTAAAATCCATGTTGTAGAACAAGAAACTGATTTTGGAAAATCCATTTCTTGTCAAAGGTCAGCTCCTGGCTCCACAGCAATAGCATTCTGCCATGTATCTGTAGCTGCAGTTAAAAAACTTCCAAATTCCTGCTGAATCAGCAACCAGGACCTTGCAGTTCTGGCTTCCAGTCCTCCACATAAAAACATGATATGCAAAATTAATAATGATATATATACCTATTAGAGAAAATCAAGTTTTTCTTGAGAATCCACAGTAGTTTTCAAATTCTAAAAGCAGATCTGTTTAGAAAAATGTTTTTACTGTTTCAGCCATGAATAAAAACATTTTGCTTCAGCTTCATGGTATTTATTTTGTCCTAAAGTAGTTAAAAGTCGTTAAAATTGATGCTTGATGTTTGAGTCACTTCAGCCCTGGCTAAGAAATAATGCTCAAAACCAACTTGGTTTTGTTTTGTTTCGGTTTGTTCTGTGTTGCTTAGTAGACTTCTGGGGTTTTAGAGAGATAGTTCCAGCAGAGAGATTTTTAAATGGAAAAATGCTCAGCATCACTGCAGTTAAACAAACACGAACCCTTGTTCTTGCAACACAGTGTTAGGCAGAAGTTGGCTTTGAGTAATTTTTAGTTACGAGTGGTCACAAAGCTGCATTTGCAGCTTGGTCTCAAAAGTTAATTTGAGCTGAACAAAGCTAAACTGCTACCACTGTCTCTAGCATTTCTGTACAACACTGCAGGGTCAATTTTCCAAGGGACCTTAATTCCCTTTGAGAAAATTTGAGCTATTGCCTCTCAGTACTTTTGAAAAAAACCAGCCCCATAGTACGTTATTTAATTACACAGTAATTATATATGCACTAGTATGAGAAAAAATGACCATGCATAGGATAAATAGTTAACTACATGTTAGAAAGATAAAGATCTCATTAAAAATAAAAAAGGAGGCAAAACATAATAGGATCTAAAATACTTAGGTAAAGCCAGAGAGAGAGTTTATTAGCTTGATCCAATAAGGGACTTAAATACCTAAGGCAAGGTTTATAGAGAGTTCAAAATATGTGATCACAGCTCGCATAGCTGCTGCCTAAGCCAGGAGTGCCTAAACTCACAAGGCTCTTCCTTGACTGTAATCTCTATCTTTAGAGTGTCTCAGATTTTACTTTTGTGCACAGTGTTCAGCAGCTAGAGCAGTTTAGGCACTTACTTCACATTCAGCTGTTTACAGTCCTCAGCTGGAAAGTTCAAGGATGCTATTTTGTCAGTGTACTCAGGCCACACCAGGCACAGATTCACATTCTGAATTTCTTAGTTTGCTGTAGTTGCTTGCTTTTAACATGAATGATGGAGAGGTGGAATAACCTTTTGTTCAACAATCTCTCTGTTAGATTATTGATAGGATAATTCTTGCATGTCATTTCTGTTCTTACAGACAACAGAATTCTTTGCTTCATTGTGACATGACTTCTAACAGGAACAGGACAGGATCATCTTTGTTTTCAATTGCACTGTCTCTTGCTGGGTAGGATCACTTTTCTGCCCTATGTTGATTTTCATCTTTTTTGTTTAATGGTTTAATGGAGAAACACAGCAACAGTGGGTTGCTGTATAGGATGTGCTTGTTTTCTCATTTCATTTCCTTCTGTTATCCTGGCTGTGATTTAACAGAATATTGTAAGCTCTGCTCTTCTTTTTTTTTTTTTTTTTTTTTTTTAAACAGAATGGTAATTGGATCTTACAGTTAGGAGGACTCTAAGCTGTGAATTTTGAGCATGCTGTGTTATCCGTGTTGTGGCCTGACTTCAGTTTCTAAGGAATTGAAATAATGCTGCTGCATTTCTGGGGTTTGGTAAGTATGGTAATTATACTTTGAAACTGTGGAACTGACTATCCTGGAAACACTAAGAAGTGGAATCACTCATTTCCCTGTTTCCATGTTCATTGTACTTTTCCCATATGTGATAATAGGTGGTTGTAGATTGTAAAGTATAGCTGAATATTTCTACATGTGCAAGGCAAAACACTTAAAAATGTGGTCAAGAAGGTCTTATTTAAAATTATTCCAGTTTTAAAAAGTAACTTAGCTCCAGATAGGACATGAATCATATTTGCTTTTCCTTCAGGAGGAGAAACCTTAGACTGATCAGATTCTTTCCTTCAGCCGTTGTTACTTGGTAGGAGAGATGCATATAATCCAAAGATTTATAAAATAGCTAACTTATGGAAAATGTGCTCCTATTAATATAAATTGTAATTATTCAAAGAGCAATGCCCTTACATTGAGAAGTACTAAAGTTAAAGAGATAAAGTGCAGGAGCTCTTAGTGCAGAACTTTAACTGAATAACAAACAAAAACTGAAATAATCGCAAAGGAAATGCTAAAAAGACTTCAATTAAAGAAGTTTTTTTTAAAATAAAAATTGCTCACTAAGGGAGTGTGCAAAAAGTCAGCATTTTTAATGTTTATTAGTATGTTTTCCTTCAGCTGAAAGTTTTTAGCAAACAATTATCTTGAATATCTTACAAATTTTTTCTGAGTTTTTATGTATTCACACTACAGAAAAAGTACAGGCTGATTGTTTTAAAAATAATGCATAGGAAAAGAAAAGGTAATGACTTTGGACATGTGTTCTATATTCTAACTTGATATTTAAAGAACAAGTTATGTTGGTATCTGTTTATATATTCTCTAATATTTTCTAATATTATTCCCTGAAAAGATGTGTATGCTCTGATATATTCCTTGCTATCAAGCTGAATGTTTTGCATCTCTTTATGATCGTCCTCTGAGATAAATAATATTGAGATACATTTGGTGTTGAATATAGGAGCAGTCTCTTTTTTTAATAATTATTGCTCTTCATTCTTATACAAGTAAAAAGAAGGGTAAAATTACAGTTATTGCATCATAATCGTATTAAAAGTATGCTTGTATTGTAAAATCAAATTTTACACCAAAGTACAAGGAAGGAAAAAAGCTTATAATGCTTGATAGCTTGATATCTAGTCTCTTGGAAAGATCCTTTAATTTCTGTGTGGTCAATAATAAATGCAGAATTAAATTCAGAGTTTCAGTTAATTAAAATGCATTTTAAGAAATGCATGTAGAAATCAGAAAATACTTGGCAGTCTACTTGCAGTGATAACGAGGGAAAAAAACCCTTATTTGTTACTACTGGATTGGACTGCTGTTACTATTAGATAAATTGCTGAGTCTAAATAAATCTAGATAATGATAAAATCATTACCAATCTTTTAATATTTTGAAGGAGTTGTTAAAGCTACAAAATTCGTGTTTACTTATTCTTCATAGGTTAGCTCTTTGGGATCAGAGGAGCAACTGCCCCTTGAGTTGTAGATATTTCTCATTCATATGATTCTACAGTTTTTGCAAGTATATCCACTTATTCCTTGTCTAATGGATGTCCTTCCTTCAGCGGTTTTAGGGCACTGGGCAAATATTTTGTATCAAAGAGAGCAGGAAATACATGTTTTTTCTTCAAAACTGTGACTAGTACTCTTTACTAAGTGTAGTGTTATGTGAAGACCATTAGGTGAACAAAAAGCAGTTACTTCACAGTGGCAGAAGACATCTGATTAAATCACCTTATTGCCAATAGTTCACCTTTTAGCAGCACAGTGAATGTTACTGTTTATTCTGACTGGTCAATATTCTTTTTCTACTTTGGCTTGTACCTGCTACTGTAACCTATATCCTGTTTGCTTCTTGAACATTAGTAGCACCACCCAGCAGCACATTGTGTGCTCTAGGCTGAGATATCACAGCCACATCTTTTCAACCTCTCCTACAAATGTGCTACAGGGAATATACACTTTTATTGTACTTCTGATAGAGATATCAGATGACAGGGCTCAATTGGGAGACTATTAATCTCCATTAGACCAATGTTTTTCAATGGAGCATGGGACCATACAGGAGAGAAGTGAGCACTCAGATTCTTCCTTTCAGCATGATTGTGTGAAGAACATAGTGTTTCAGCCTTTCTCCCACCTATATTTCTCCTTCACTGTGTTTAGTGAAGAAGATAATTGAGTATCTGGTCTTTGGCTGTTGTCTAAAAATACTCTATGTAGAGACAAAAGAAGACTTCATCGAATTTTTTTTTTTCCATTCCTGAAAATGCAACTTTTTTTTTTCCTCAAACATATATTGAGCATAAGTTGGCCATGCAGTTGCAACAAGTTTCAGTTATACTGAGTCTAGGCTGACCACGCTTACTCAGAGGAGGCGCTGTGGCAAGTGGCCCATCCCACAAGGCTTCTATGGGATGTGTTCTGTCTTTGTCATACTGTATATAACCATTACATTTTAGGGATCTTTTTTAATGATTTGCATTCCTCAATTTCCCTTGTCCAGGAAGGGTTTCACAAGGGCTGAAAGACTGTGATGAGTCCGTGCATATGAGAGTATTTCTAAAATCACATAATATATTTTATTTATCTTCATATTTCGATCTCTAGTTAAAATAAAACCCCACATTTTTTAAGTAAACAGCTTATCCTGCTGTTTTTCATGGGTTTGCTGATATGCTGAATCTGTTTTACATTTATATTTGGCTGTGCTGGTATTGGTAGATCACCTGAGAGCCCTGCCTTACTCTCAGTTCGTGCTTGCTGTTCACTGGAGAGCTGCAAGCCTGACAAGCTGTTGCCATCATTTTTCTTTGTGACATACTGTAGAGCCTTCTTGTTACAAAGTACTTGATTTGTGTCCTGGGGATCTCAGCTGTGGAAATTTGATGTATGGCTCACTCTGTCAAGTTTCGTGGTTCCTGTCATACTTCATCCCTCTGCTTGTACTGATTTAACACCTCAATTCCTGGCCATACATAAATTTATTTAGCCAAAAGTTAACTATGTAAACTAGGTGTAAATATTTATTATTAATTGTTTTTCTTTGTCGTTTTTAAACATTGGAATGGACTGCTGAGGGAGGCAGTGAAATCACCATCCATGGAAGTGTTCAACGAATGACTGGATGTGGTACTTAGTGCCATGATAGAGTTGACAAGGTGGTGATCAGTCAAAGGTTGGACTTGATGGTCTCAGAGGTCTTTTCCAATCTGAATAATTCTGTGATTCATTAAAAAAATGTTCTCAGAGGTTCTTTTCCTTGGTACCTTGATCACCTTAATAAAAGTGGTTAGTGGAAAACTCTGGTGTTTACAGGATTAATTCTTGGGAGTGACAGTCTCCCAGAATTTTTGAGTTCTGCGACACCATTAACAAAATTAATAGTTAGGTTGGTAATTGATTTCAGGCTTAGAAGCAGGTTATAATGATTGTAGGGCTGAGTCATATCTTAGACATAGTAGCTAAGTAAACTGTTCTGGTAAAGTAAACAGTAATAGATCAGAATGAAAAGTTTCTGAATAAGGTATTTGCAGATAAATTATAGCATAGCAAAGCTTGCCTGTCAAGAATGAGAAGCAAAGAAGATGTCAGCCTATAGTCTTTTTTTAATCCAGATGTCTTTCTTACTGTAAAAGATTTACATTGTAAGAAAAATACCAGGTATTTGTAGAGGGAAGTTTGGGTAGAATAAGTAGTTATTGGGAAGGAAGAAGGAAAACAGAAGGTATGTTTTTCAAAGACATCCTACATGCATGTGTACATAATGGGACTGAGTATATTGACAGTAATAGGAGTGAGCTGTCCCTTTTTTCCTTGAAATCACCTCTTTGCTAATGGTGTAAAGTTGGCAAATCATGGATGTAGTGCTTTCCTACTTTTTGCCATCACTTAGAGAAAAATATAGGTTGTGTTCAGATTGTACCATAGCTCGAATTTCCCTGTGTCTGCAGCCTTTTAGGGAGCACAGTGTTAACGGTAAGCAACCTCTGATCCTTTGTTTCCTGGCCCAAACAAAAGCATATGAGTAATAATATGCAAATAGAATAATATGCAAACAGAAGCATGTGAATGATAATACTCAAATTCAGTAAATTTGAAACAAATCTTCAGTCTTGATACTGCTTCATCTTGCAACGATTACCTCCTTTCTGTAGATCTCAATAGAAAGATGTAATGCCTTTATCAATTCTTACTGCAAATAACAGTTTCTGTTATGACTATATTAAGAAATCTTGCTTTGAAATTATAATTTTAGGGTGATTTACATAAGAAATAATAATGTCTATAGTTGGATTGATTGTTGTTTGGAAGTAAGGACTTGTGCGACATTGTTGTCTTAGAAGTTTGAGTTAAATGATTTCTTTTTAAATTTTAGTTTTCAGAATACTGGATTATGCCTTCTCTTCCACTGTTGCTTCTACTGTATATCTTATTCCTACAATTCTCATCTTTATAATTCTATTAAAATAAAACATATACACCAAAATATATCTATATACCCCTGATTAAAGTATTTACATATTAAATATCCAATTTTTTAAAATTGCATTTACATTAGCTTCTTTAAGCATTTTCTGGGAAAAAAAAAAGAGGTTTTAAATGAAAAAACTAATAAGTGCTTTAAATCTTAAAAAAAAAAAAAAAATTACTACTTTTGCTCCTATTTGTTTTTCTGTTGCAAAAGTGGTTCAGTGTGCTTTTCAGTGTTCCAAAAATACCTTACAAGTCAACAGTGTGATTGATTGATTTGTAATTTGTATTGTGTACACAAAGGGATATTCACTTGAAAACTGCTTGCTGCACCTTGAGATCAGGGGAAGGACATGCAGCTGGAGTCCCTGGTACCAAGCAGGAGCTGCTGGTTGAAAGCCAGGCTGGACATGCAGCACAGGGGCTGGTGGAGCTGCTCTGCTTCCCTGCTCCTTGGTGAATAGTGGTCTTCTGGTCAGGATCACCACTGCATTTTAGAGGTTATAGAAAAGGAAAGGATCTTCTGAAATTCTGTGAAGTGCATAAGCTTCCCTCCATAGCAGCCAATGCTACATAGAACAAAAGTTATTTTTTAAATTTTTGCCCACTCAGTCAAGATACAGACAGACAAACAAATACACATCTCGGATTATTAAAAATTTGGAATTATTTCTTTAAGAACAACTGATATAATATGCTTTGTTTCATGTAAATTCAACTCTCAGTGTTTTCTGTTTTAGGATGGTAACATCGAGGAATTTTGGAAGGGTTTGATGTACCTGTTGTGCTTTACAAGCTCAATTCTCTGGCCAAAATATGTTTCTCATGATGACGAAGAAAATTCACATATCTCCAGGCAGTTGTTTTTCTGCAGGCTTAGCCCTTAGAAGAAAGGAATTTTGAATTCCTGCTTAACTTGGTAAATGTGCTGGGTTGAAGATCTATTTATTCAGCATTTATTGAACTAGTTGGGAACAATGTTTCAGATGAGGTGGAGGGAAAAAAAATAAAGTTTTAAATGATGTTTAGTTTTCCCACTAGAAAATTG